TCTCTCTCTCTCTCTCTCTCTCTCTCTCTCTCTCTCTTGAATGGGAATGAGTCGGCATGATGTTTTTGTGTGAAAGAACTTCTTCCGGAACTCTTCCATTAGTTTCCTGGGTAGTCCCCCTATGCAAGAACCTCGTCTTCTTATCTTGTGAACAGTGGATGCGTGTGTATTGTTCCGATCCATCCTTTTTGTCTCTGCGTATATCTCATTTTCGCACCTTCCACAGTGAATGAATGTATGGAGATCCGCGTTTCTTTGCGTTGATTAGATGATTGTTGTTGGGATTTTGGTCGAGAATGCAAGAGTGTTTAGATCTGCAGCTCTGAATGTACTGCGCATGCCATCTGCCTTATGCTGCACGACAACAGCACCCGAGCCACAGGGCGGCCCCGAGAAACAAGGTGCCTCGGATCAACGTGGCGCTGGCTCACTAAACCCGAGCCGCGGGCCGGTCCGCTAGTTACATGCATGATCAAGCTGATGAGTGTTTTCTCTCTCTCTCGTGTAGAAAAGGATTGATTGGGGGGGTTGCGCGAGTGTTTTCTTTTCTTGATGACGTCTCGAGGTTTTTGCAATTCATTGATATGTGGACTGACAAGTACCCTCCGATCGGGCACCAGCGTCCCGCACCTCCCGTCTCAACACGGCCTTTTCCCTACAATGAGGAGAGGACACGTGTATGCGAGTGGGCGTACGAGAAGCCGTTGCACAAATCGGCGGATGGTACTACTTATCGTTGTTCAGGGTTCGTAGAGGCTGGGTTTGTCATTATCGATACGCACTTCCCACCTTACTCGATATTGTTGCCATTCAACGAGTTGATTGTCATCCCGTGGACGGCAGTAGAACCCCACTGGTCGCGCACTCTATGCACCGAATGTCAGCGTTTTGAGCGCTACGAATCCAGGGGTTTCCACTACCGTGTGCGGAGTGAAGACGAGCATAAAGAAAGAGCCACGCGGCTGAGACCATCCACGTCAGACTCAGAACTGACCAGCGAACGACGACGAAACTTGATACGAAAACGGGACACGCGAAGCGTGCCCAAGCCCTAAACGACGGGTCGTAGCACGGTGGGAAGCTCGACAATACTTTTTGGATTGAATTTGGATTTTTCTCTTTTCGCGGCATGCCCGCGCGCGCATTCCGCAACGCGCGAAAGCAACCGACTTACTTCATCGGACCAACACGGGGGATTTCAGTTTCGTCTGTGTCCCCACACTCAATTTCCAAAAATCCTTGGCACACCCCATCTTGCTGTTTTTCTGGGCCTCCTTCCGCACATCTAGCACTTCGAACGAAAGACAGCACAGGGCGTGAGGTTGCTCGTCACATATGCACAAGAAGGCCAATCAACGGGCCAATTGGAGGAGTTGGGACTCGCACATGGACGGGACACGGAAGTGTGCTGGCCGTGTGCCATTCTGGGCTGGAGACAGACACACGCACACACGCACGAACAAAGACTTGACCTTGGAACAGACGCGATCCAACGAGGGGTCTAAAGAATGCAGGCTATTCAAGAACGGGAGGCAACTTGAGCGCACGAACGTGGGCAGGGTCTCGGATCTCATTCACCCACCTTCACCGTCTACACAAAAAATGTAGTAACTTTGCTCGAGCCCTTCGCGGGCGTGCTGCCACGACATTCTGACACAAAATGCGTGCAAAATATTTCGGCAAGCTCCACAACCGTAGTGTAGTGGTGGGATCCCGAAACTACAGTGTAACATGCTATGGGATCCCAAAACTACAGTGTAACTGGGCTGTAGTGTAGTGGTGGGATCAGACCCTTAGGCCATTCAGCCTTTTTTCTTTTGCCCTATCATAGGTCTAGGTCCCCTTTCCCCCTGTTCCCATCTAGATACAGATAGGTCTTGGGTTGTTGCTTTGGGGAGGCCCTCCGGTCTAGCGGAGTGTAGAAGTAACCGGCAGGAAAATTAGTTTGGGGCTTTTCACGTTTTGTTGACTGGGGAAACTCTGCCCGTCCGTTGCTGGAGCGCTGCTGCTCTATTTTGGGCGAGGTCATCTTCTTCCTTGAAGCCCAGCCACAGCTGGGGTTGGGAAACGAAGTTGAAGATGGCACTGCTGCTATTTCGCAGCTCT